CGAGTGCAGTCTCGCGTGCACTACGAAACCGAGCCAAGTCAGAAGGGCGGGGTTTTCACCGGAGAGAGGTGGTTTACTGCCGGAGCAAAGTAGTCGACGCGAGAGCGGCTAAGATTTAACGATGAATGGATTGAGTAAAGAGAGCTAGAGGAAAGAAGGTGCTTTTTTTTCTCCTTGGTTGGGATTGAAATTTCTTCATAAACGGCTTTAGACCGACTACTTGCGGTCATAAATGCAAATGCGCGTCAGTTATTTATTTAGTTACGTGACCTTGCGCCACTGTATTATCGTTTCCATTTTACGTTGAAATTCTTGCGACCGACATCGAACATTACGAGCTTTTAGCACGTTCCGTAGCAATTCAATTGTAAGGCTGAGGCATTTTTTATGTATGATGCTTTCATACAAAATTGCTACGTAAAGAGTTGTAAGGGTTTGTAAGGTTACTCAATCGAGATGAAGAGAAATGAAAAAACAGATTTATTTTTCGAATCGATGAAAATTTGTCAACTATTTACGTTATTACTCAATATTATCACCTCGTATACTTTTGCTTTTCCGGAACCGACAAATTTCATTAAAGAACTCACAACGGCATTTACCTCCCTTCTTCATCTCAAACAGCTGACTTACATTTCATCTACGTAATACCATCCAACGCTTTGCGTTTATTCACGCGACATTTTTTAGGAAAAAAACTGTCAAGAACGATACAAACACACAATATGCGAGAGCACTGACGCTGCAGGAAAAGAGCGATAACGAGATAGTGACGCTCGTATACACACCGGTGCTGCCGCCTCTTGACGCTGCATTGTGTAGGGAAAAAAAGCACAAGAGAAAAAACGAGACTTAGCGTTTCAAAAAAGAACGGTATATTGTTTGCAGAGCGTCGTCCCTCGTGGGTTTCACACGCTTGTATATGTATATATACAAGTACGCACACGGGTGTACTGGCTTTTTTAAATATATGCATAATTGTTTCTCGTCGATGTGTACTGTGATGTCAAGTTGACGACGACAGCGAAACGAAAACTGTTTTAGGTAGACGCATTGCATTAATTTCATATTTTTCATCTTCTTTCGTGTATATAAATGACCGAATGATTTAATTCTAAATATTTTATCAGCGAATAAACTTTCCACTCCGAGGACGAATAATTTTTTGATAAATATTTCTAAAGGTCAGTATGAATGCACACGCGTGAAAAGGGTGTCATCAAAATTAAAAGCGTGATGAATTTATTCAAGCAGAAAATCGAAATTTACACCGATATACAGCATTCATATGCAACTCCATCAAATTAAAAAATATACGGATATGTCCTAACTGCAAGGGAGCGTCATTGTAAAATACTCGTGCTCGATAGATACACGCGCAGCAGACACACAATACTCTGAAGTATAGAACAGAAGATTCCTCAAATATACAGCTACGTATACACAAGCGAAAGCGCAGCGATCTAGAAAAACTGAGATAAAGGCCGCAGATTGGAAAAGGACGAAGCGAAACTCTCTGGCACCCCGGAACAAAAGCCTTCGTATCTTCGACTTGCTAGTGATTTTCATGCCGACGGAAGTTCTCATAACGCTGCAAGTGCTATGCTGATTGCTATGCACTCGCTCGCGAACGGATATATACACGTACATGCGACGTTGCATTCAATTCAGTCAATGATGAGAATGCGCCGTCACGCGGATGGAATGTTCCTCTTTTTTTTTCTCATTTATGCATGCTACATTGCACGATTCGTGATTGTGATTTTTGTATATCGCGCACTTGAGTATTTTCTGATGAAGTTTGCCCGAAACTTTTAGAAGCTCAGAATAAATTTTTCTGAGTTTGTCGAATCCAAGTCACGTCATCTCTGAACCATCGCTTTTCAGTAAAGCTGTCAAGATAATTAATTTATTGCAACAATAGATTCTGTCATCTGTCGGTCAGATCGAGACACGCGAATAAATATAGCAACGTGGTCCCTGGTAGAACTAAATAATTCCATTTTTTGTAAATTCGAAATGTTTAGCTTCGAAATTTGATATTGACGTAGAATCTTATAAATTTGAGACCTGTTCGACAATCCGTGCGCGGGGACTTGATTTAACTAGGTTCGGGAAGGGAAGCATGCTTCAAATCTCATCTTGCACACGTCGTATGGAAACATCAAGTTAAATAGGGCTAAAGGAACTTCACCTTCGTGTAGTCTCTTCAGCTTCGCTTTGCTCGGGTACTACCATCCACACGAGTCTCATCTCACTTTCTTGTACTAGTATCGAAATGTACTAATATCTAGGCCTATTTCAAAAAGGTAGTATTGTGCCTATATTTATGCTTGAAAAATTATTTCCTTAAATTTATCAATAAGTTTTTATCAAATCATTTATTCATTTTGAATTATAAGAGATTTTTTCTTAAAATCAAAATATTCTCTTGGATTTAGAAATTAATTCTAAAGTGCATTTGACATTGCTATTTACCAATTTATCAAATTTTACAAAACGTACTTTCAAAATTTATCACTTGATTAATTTGACTATATATCTTTTTCTATAAAGCTGCTCAATTTAACCAATTATTTATTTGAAATAATTCATGAATTTCTGCCGTCCAATGATTTAAATATAAATTTTAGAAAAATTCTTCTAAAACTAAAAAAAAATCATTTTCTTGCATGTTAAAATCAATTAGAAAAAATATTTAAAAAAATACAATTTCAGTTCTTTCAGTTTCAAAAACTTTACTCAATTTTTCATGAAATTTGTTAATTTAAGTAAATGTTTGATCGAACAGAGCATTTTAACTTTCAAGTTCATCGTGCATTCTTCATATTTGAAAACTTATTTCTTTAATGAAATTTAGTACCATTCATTTAAAAAAATATTTTGTGGAAGGAACAGTTCTGTGTTACAATGGAATATTTTTAAATCATGATTTTTAATTAATTTCGAATCAAAATCATTTCGGATGAATCTTTTCGGAAAAACAATTTTTGAAGTTCCAATAACTGTTGGATATAAACAGTATTTTATATGCTAAAACTGACTTTTTCAATTGAAAAAAAGTATTTAATTTAATAAAATGTTTTTTGAAGATTTACATTTAATATATTGTGTATGAATGTAATCATGAATAAATTTTTCATTAACAATTACTTTTTTATTTAAACATCCTGTATATTGATCCTTTTTTAAGTACTTATAAAAAATTGTGTAGGTTCTATGTACAAACGTTGCGTTAACGTAGTTGGTTAAATGTGCGCGTGTTACCCCATGCGTTCGGAGTTCAATTCCCTTTGCGAACGAAAAACAAATTTTTGTTAAGTATACAAACATTTGTTTTAAAACAATAAAATATTTAGTAAATTTGATTGGTCGTTCATTCAAATTCAGAAAAGATTACATTAAGTACAGAAAACGTTTTTTCAATTTAATTTGTACTTAATTAATTTATTTACATAAGAACTTAAATTGATAAAAGATTTCCGTTAAACAAAGTAATATTTTTTAGAAATATAAGAAATAATATTTGGTCTTCAATAATATTTTTTCAAATTGAAAAATGATTTGCCTTTTTGAAAATAATTGGATTTCATAACTATCAAAATTTTTGTTAACAGAAAAAATAATTTTGTTAATTCAAAACTACGTAAATTCTTTTCTGAAGATTGACTTCTTTAAATATACATGAAATTTGTTCAAGTCAAACTAAGATATGTTAATTTTTATTTGATTTTTTTCTCCAATTGATGAAATAAAAATCTTCAATTCAAGTAAATATTTCCACAGCATATAGGGAACTAATAATTTTCTTGAATTTAATCAAATTTAATTATATATAGTAAATTTTTTTCTCGTTGTGGGTTTCTATGGCATTTAAACATTGTAACATCTCACAATATGATTTAAAGGTACTAGACAATAAGAAAATAAGAAAATAACATGAAAAGAAAATAGTATGACAGGAAAAACTGAAAAATTGGTCCATAAACAATATTTAAAAATAGACGAGTAGTACATGATTTTGATTTTGATAATCGGTAATAAATATTTCATTAAATCTTTACTTATTTGGAAGACATTTTGTATATCCAATCCTCCGCCCAAGAAATACATCCTCTTCTGTAAGTTTTGGTAGTAAGATCTAATTATAAGTTAGATTTTCTGTTAAAATGTATATTGGTGCTGAATAAAAAGAATAATTATATAATAAACTTATTTAAACTTTTATTTGACTTATCTGATTATATCAGGAACGACTTTTACGAAAAATACAAATCATATTCATTCTGATTTTAAGGAAAATTTCAAAATGTGTAATCACAAAATAATGAATTCACCATATATTCACGTTGAGACTTCTAGAGAAGACTTATTCAGTTAACTCAATTTTCATGAAATTCAGACATACGGGAAGCCACTGAAAGAAAAACGTAATAATGTGGGTTTAGGTTAGTGATCAAATAAAGAAAGCAATGAAAACATCTTTTAAGCACCAATAAATATTATTTTCTGTTTTTTTTCCATTTAAAACAAATAAAGAGAAAAAAATTTTTTTTTAAGAAACAATGACTTCAAGTTCGGGTCAGCACGCGGAACCGAGAAATCTCGTAACTTCTACGACGCACATCAACACCCCTATAATTCACACAATTGCAGCGGTCGCTTTTCCTTCTTTTACCATGATATCACTGGTATTACATAACTATTAATTCGAGCTTGCATTATACATTGAAAATGTTTATTTACAAATTAGTCCCATAATCGTCATCAATAACAACAGGCGCGCATAAATAATACTGATTCGAAAAGATAACGAAAAGAAGAACGTTTTTCTCCTATAACTCTCATTATTTCATCTTTTCGTACAAAAACAACATCAAAATCGCAAAGTCCATCTATTTATTTATATATATATATATATATATATATATATATATATATATATATATATATATATACATATATCTATTATATACAACATATATATCAGCGCACGAGGTTCTTGATTCTGAACCTCTCGTCGCGTTATTGCGAGGACGTGGCAACAGGCTGACTGTTGGGCGGCGGCGGCGGCGGTGGCGGCGGTTGTGGATGTACCATTAGACCATGAACCGGATGTGGATGATGTGGGTGATGATGTGCTGAGTAAAAGATCGGTTGAGCCGTCGTAGAACCGCCAACCGGTACTGGATGTGGAAGACCCGAAGCCGATGTTACGGATACCGAGGGTGGTGGCGGTCCACCAGCTGGCATACTCGATGGTACTGATGCCTCGTGATAGAGAATTGGTACACGCACGAGGCGCTGAGCGTGTACTATGCTGTTTGTCTCGATTTCAGCCGCGAGCTGCCGTTTCCACTTGTTTCGACGATTTTGGAACCAAATTTTTACCTGTGCGTTCGAAAACAAACCGAGTAGAATATATCGAGCGATTAGTCGATGATTTGTATGAGTTAAATATTTACGTGAACGTACAATCGAACTTGAGTCAATATAGTACAGTCATAGCGTGGCAATTTTCATTTTTTCTTTCGCAACAATTTCAGCCACAAAAATATTTCTGTAGTATTAAAACATGAAAGCTATCGCGTTGTTACATGAATGGCAATTCAGTGAATATAGATTAAAGCACGCAGCTTTGGACGTATTTATATTTATTGAAAAGCTTTTCTCGTAGCTTCTATATATGATATCCATCCGAGCTAACAGTAAACAACGCGTTCTATTTTATTGTCGCGAAAAAATAATAATAAATAAATAAATAAAATAAAAAAAAACGCTTTAGAGAAAGTCTATGCTCACCTGCGTTTCAGTCAACCTGAGTGACGTAGCTAAAGCAGCTCTCTCGGACGATGATAAGTAACGTTTCATATCGAATGTGCTCTCGAGCTGAAAGACCTGCGTCCTTGAAAAAACAGTACGAGTCTTCTTCTTGCGTTTGATGCTGTTTGAATCGGCATTTGCTTGATTGGACGACGGACCGGTGCCATTGCTACTGCTACCGCCACTGTGAAGCCTCGATGGATTATCACCATCTTGATCATTGTCTGGACCGTCGTCAACGTCACCGAGTTCGTCGTGTGAGCCATCGTCACCACTTAATGGACTACGTGAACGACGGACTCGATCGGCTTCGTTCGTTGCGTCATCATCGAGATCTTCTGAAAATTGTTATGTACATTTTTTCGTGGTTGATGCATTAATAATTTAGTTTTTAGAATATAGAAGTTTTTACATCCAACTGTAGAATCATATTAATTTTTGTAACAAAAATTGAAAGATTGTGACACTTTTTCGGTTTCCGAAAAATCATGGAAAATACCATTCAATACTCAAGTTTTTCATATTTATAGTCTATTTTCAATAAATCCAGCGAAGTGCACAACTATTTTGTAATAAAAATAACTTTCAAACTCTCGAATAATTATCGAACGTTTAATCGTTTAATTAAATGTTCCGTGGAAAAAATGAAATATTAAATAACAAACCGTCTTTTTACGGAAATATTTCATTATCGATTTTAGTGACACATTTGAAAACATCGTAACTTTTAAACAATTCCATTTTTCAGTAGTACATTTTCTAACGGGTAAAGAAAAAGTCATCTCTGACTCGTGCTATAAACCTCTCCTTTCGTCAAAAAGCCTTTTGCGATCTGTTAGGTATACTAGTTTTCCGCATGAGAGCCGGAAACAAGCGTTGATGATGCGATTTGAAGGTTATATAATGCGGAAAAATAATTTTCTTTTATATCGAATGATTGATCTTAGTTTGCATTTACTAATATAATAAAAGCTTTTCATAGCATATTATTAATTAGCGAGTTGTTTTCGTTATAATAGAGTAATATACAAAAACTTGAACTTAAATATTAGCCAAAATGTATGGTATTCGTGCAGTAAAAATTTCAATTATAACCTTAATTGAGTATTCTAATTTTAAATTTCAACTTTTCAATGGTAAGTTAATATTTAAAAGTCTTCCATTCAATAGAACAGAAACCGGAAAATTTGAAAAATAATTAGAAATTAGATTCGTCAGAATTTCATTGCAAGCGTCGAAATCCATTCTTAATAAGCAGCATCCATTTTAAATAACTTATCGTACGTTTTTGCATCGCAACAAAAATAAAAAAAAAATATCCATCGACAAAACACTGCCGCTTAACCCAAAACCTTCCCCGCAGGAAAATTCAGGCGACTAAAATCGCTTTTATGCTCCACACGTCGGAGCATTGTAAAACGTCAATTTGCATAATTCTTCGTATATATACGCGTGAGTTGGATCGATCGATCGCGGCTAACGTCGAAATTTCCGTACCAATTAAAGCACAATTAATTACAATTAATTACAATCGGAGTTTAATGGGTGCGCGTGTATTAGCGCTCTCATTCGTTTGAAAGGTAAAACGTGGAATTATTCGAGGGCTACGCGATGCAGTTTGATGCGCGTTGAATTGTTTTGTAGTAAGTGAACGCGGCTCCGATTTTAATTTTTGCGATTCATCTTCGATTAATCAAACTTAGCGATGTGTATTACATGTGAATGATGCGTGTAGCTGAATAATTAATTACTTATCGTGATACAGTACACCCCCATTTAAGAATTACACATTCAGAGACGGAACAATACCGAAATAATCATGAAGCGATTATTGTTATTTGAGTTTACTAACTATGCTACGCTTCGTTTGGTTGTGTACCGACTTCGACTAATATAGCCTGCCAATAATCCATTTCTGCTATAGGAAAGATTAAAATCAAAACAAAAATTTCCAATGTCTATTGCTGTAACTCGATAATAGATAAACTTTAGTCGGCGAGTTTTAATGCTATAACAGCCAATTACTCAACTGAAAGCTCGCGCAAAGTCCATGGAATAAAGAGAAACGTCTATGTTGCTACTCACAAATTGACGAATCATTCGGTGTTCTAAATCGCGTCGAACGATTAATCTCATCGATTCAAGTCTTTTTACGGCAAAATCTGTAGATATATTCTTCACCAATTGCCATTTAATTTGGATACGTTATCATTTAAATCATTGATCGATCAGCTTTCTTGCTCGCTTATTTTTCCCTTTTATTGGAAAAAGTTTGCTTTGTTTGGTTTTCAGATTGGATCGATCGATTGTTAACCGTTGCAATTGAATAGTTTTCATCCATTCACTGTTGACTGATCTTATTGTTATACACTGCAAGCTGTTCATTTGAATTGTGCTCACGTCAAAATTAAAAAAAAATACTTTTCCATTGATTATTTATTTCTTTGTTTAGCTTCTCAATCTATAAAGTTATTATTTTTTCTATTCGGATGGACTCATATGGGATTGACATTCATATTCCCACTTATTTTATAGAGTTCCAAACTAACTTTCACATAAAGTGGATTGTTATTAGTCAATTTATTGATTATTACGTTTTTTTTTCCTCTGGAACAATAATATTAAAAATAGTAATAATATTCAAAATAGTCCCCGCGCATCCAATAATTAGCTACATTGCCGTAAATGCTTTTACTATTGGAAACTAAAAAAGTTGTTAGGGTCCATTTTTTGAATTATTGCAAACATACAAATAAATCCATGATGGAATGAAAAAAAAACATATAGAAACGGATTTTGTACTTCTATTTTGATACGCTTTTAGTTATGTACGGGAATATTTTCGAAGAGAGATAAGCCAAGAAAGCGGTATTATAAAAAAATACCATATTTTTCAATACATTCACTTTTTGGTGGTTTGAAATTCGCATAAATTTGTATCACCAATTACATTGAGGATTTTAAGATTCATGGCAGATCGATGAAACTTTCTACTAAATAAAAGAGTAATTAAAGATTTTCCTCAAGAAGTTTATAACAATTTCTAAATTGACACGGAGCCTCTCTGAACTGGAACATTTGATTAATCAGTCATGCTATCATCAAAGCGCACCTATTGTAATTGGACATCACGAGAAATCGCCAATAGCATGGAGTCGAGTACAACCTTGAATAGCAACACGTGAAAGCCAAGCTTATCAGCTCGACTAATCCGTTGTCGAGGCAATCAATGCCAATCGAATGCACGAAATTCAATTAGACAACCATCTCGTTCATTATACAGACAACAGTTCGCTTTGGGCTTCGTTCGGCACGCAATCGTCGAACAAGAAGCGAATAATAAAACGATAATGAGCCACCGCTGGAAGGTGTGTAATATGTATACACAACGCTCGCAGCGCAGAGGCTTCAAGTCGTAAGGTTTCCACGCCGCCACGCGACAAAACCAGCACCGATCGTCTTAGCGCTATATAGCGTCAATCGTTTTGCTCGCTGCGACTGCTCGCCGACGCGCAGCACCGCACTTACACTAATACCCTCCCATCGGCTAGTCAAGTCCTCGCTCACCCTCTCTCGCTTTCTCGTAACAGTTGCCCGATTAACCTTTCTAAGGTGTCTCTTCTCTCCTCGCGTGGAGGTGTATAATAGAACGTTTGCGATGCTTGTTTTGAGGTGCAACTTTGTGCGGATTAATTGCGTCGATTGAGCCAAGTGTTTTGAGTTTTTTATTTTTTTGCTCGGTTGATTCGTCACAGGGATGTGTTTATTTTTGCATTAGTATTAACTTTCAATTATTGTTATATTTCGAATATTTCATCACATAGAGTATTTAATTAATAGGGAACCAAGACTAAAGCGTGCAAATACCTAGCGTACCTCTGCAGCGATCCACGTGGAAGTAGTTCTTGAAGTTACAAAAATTTATTTTTAACCATACACAACAAATTAAATATTCGGTGAAAATTGTTTTTTATTAAGTCACTTCAACCATAGTACTTAAAATAGTGTATCCAATTATGGTCATTCATCAATCATTAATGCCAAGTGAATTCCAAAAATCTTTCAGATATTCTGTCTTTTGAACTTACAAAAGGAACGAATGATCTTTTAAACGTGAGGGATATAACGAACGATTAAAATAGTCAAGCAGCAAGTCGATGTGTCTATCGCTTGGCCTCCTCTTTCTCGGCCAGAAACGTACGTAAAGCGTTGCTGTGGGGCTTCGACATCAAGCTAAATCTTAATAGCGACTTGCTTTCGTTTTTTTTCTCTTGTTTTAAGCCTTTTCGTGTTCAACCTCTCTCGTCCCTCTCCCTCTTATTGTTCTCGTCGTCTTTAACTAGACGATAAATCAGCTGATTTCACTTACGGCTACAGTGCTTTCAAATGCGGTTCCAAGCCACCGTTTTTTTCTTTTCATTTGCTAGCTTTGTTATTGGCGACAACGAATTTCTTTCTTTCCTAAGTATTTATCAATTTCGAAACATTGATGTTACTGCACTTTGTCTGTTTAATGTGATACACAGGTAATTAACGGAATAATCGATGGCATTAATGATTCAATACACGTAAATTTGTACCAAAAAGCAATAATACGTCTGAATGGCCATACTAATCGTTTCAATTTTGATCGAATAATGATTAAAAATTGATTTCGACAATTATAAACGAGCATTTCTTCTGCGCAACGAATGTAGGTTATGCGAACCGCGTTCCGAAATATTCTTTTACATACGCTAACGTTGTAGCTAAAACGCTCGACTGAAAATGCAAGTCTTCTCATGCTTCAACACTGGTTTCACAATATCTACTTAAACTGCACTAACTGCATCACGACTGTCGGGAAGATTATTTGTTCGGAAGGTGATCGGCTTCGACTTGTCATTTTAAATGAAAGTTTAAGGATTGTTTACCCTGTATTGCGAATTATTTTCAAATTAACACTTATGCAATTTTAGAAATTAATGAAAATTTGAAAATTATTAGTCATTGTCATGATTTGTCACAATATTACATTTTTTCGTATTATTGAATTGGAAATAAACTCTTGTAGAAACAAAATATTATCGAGTAAAAATAATGTAAATTGGATTATTGAATGGTCAATAAGTATTAATTGGATCGTCAAGCCCTACACAACTGAGATCTACATAACTAACGTGGAGAATAATAATATCACTCAAAAAATGTGTATTTCACTGCTCGTAGTGCACAAATAACTCAATATTAATAAAGTCAGTACATTTACTTTACAATCCATCGAAAAGCTGTGAGCAAATGGATTCTATACTCTGCAAAAATATTTACTACGATAATTCTATCGTAATTCTTCTCGTTTAACTATGTTTTTTTCCGCGACTAAACATTATCCAAACAAACAACAATGGAAAAAGCTTTATTTTTTTTCTCTTGATACGTTCGCGTTAAAATTTCATAATCACCTGGAAACAAATAAATTTTTTTTTTGCTGCAGCAGGGCGCGATCAAGTATTCGGCACGGGCTGCAACGTCGAATCGCGTTTCAAGTGTGTCGATGATTTCAAACGTGCTGCTGTTCGATATATTTTTCCCCCTCTGCGGATTTGACAGATATACGTTTATTTTCGTTGGGCACGAGAGAACCGTTGTTTTGTTTTCACGTCTGCGTGTGGGTTGGATGATTCGTCAATTTTTCAAACGTCACGGATTTTCCCTCGATTCGAAGTTGTATATACATGCATACATGCGTGTGTGCGTGTGCTTTTCACGCGGTATAGAGGCAAGTGGACTTTCGAGTGGACAAAGTTACAGATATTTTTGGATCGTTACATTTGACGAAGCATTGTTGTATCAATTTTGGATTATCTAAACGTTCAAGAGCTTGTGTTATTCAATGATTTCAAAAAAGGTGGAACAGCATTATTTTGATACAATAATTTCTCACCGTGTATATAATTATTGACTTAATAGATCTATTACTGACTTAAGTTAGTTAACAGAAATAAATTTCTCAACTACAGAGATATTTTTGAGCAACAATTTGAATATGCGACATTTCGAAAATATCATTGATTTTCGTTTTCAAGCTAGAAGCACAATGAATAATATAATTGTATTCGACAACGACATCTGGATACACGACACAAATGTGTTTGATAGAAGCTTATTCCATAAAAATAAAATAAAATACAGAAAACATACCAAGATAGGCAAAAAACTACAATGACTTTGGTTTCACATTCTTATCTGACTAGATTATACGACTGTATAATTATGAATTTTGATGTTAAATGTAATTTTATAATAAGCGCATATCAAATACATTTGTTTCGTGTATCCATACGTTGTTATTATAATAAATACAATTATATTATTCGTTATCATATGCTTCTAGCTTCAAAACGAGTATCAATTACATTTTCGAAATGTCGCATAATCAAATAAAAAACGTATTGGTCAAAAGGATCTATGTAGTTGAGAATAGTATGTTATCTGACAAGGAACGTATAATTCTTGTCTTGCACGTGGTTTATGTTTGAGCGAAGCGAGGATCTCTTTTACGAACACTTCAGGTATCGTATTTAAAAAAAAAAAACGTGCGGAAAGCGCGAACTATATCGGACATTCCGCACATTTTTTGCCGAGCGCGCGGCAAAGTTGTACTTTGCGTAGGACATGTAGAAAATTTATTTCTGCAAACCACTTTCATATAGTAAGTTACATAAAAAGTGAACAGCGGTAAAACGTACAAATAGAAAAAAAATATAATTATTCAGCTTTGGCTACAAATTTATTTTTAAATATTAATTCTTATTGCTACTTACTTTTAAAAATTAGAGTGTTTATTTTACTTATAGCGTAATTGAAATATAATCATAATGCAGAAAGATTATTTCGCACTGTATAATTTTGGAAATGCAAAACTGTCACGATCATACTTTTGCCTAATTCGTTTTTTTAGATGTTCATATTGATACGCGTAATTGATTGAACATGAAAAAATGAAGAAATAAAATAAAAAGGGCGGAAGCAAACAGAGGTAAGAAAGGAAAATGTCAACTCACCTCTCTGTGGATACGACGTGGATGTAGGGCTTATTCTGTTAAACGATCCAGGCGGTTCACTCGCCGACGGATGTTCGAGTCCATGAGGCGGCCTGCTCGCCCATGGAAATGACCAACCCGTTGGTACTGTTCTAATGCCGTCGGCTGCCGCAGCAGCTGCTGCCTCGGCCATGTCAGCTGCATGAGCTGCACTCGTTGCTGCTGCCGACGGTAATCGCGAATGATGAAGATGTTGTAACGACGACGGGAAAAATACGCTACCAACCCCGATACCAACTGGGTAACGTGAAGCAATCAGCGACGACATCAAACCCAATCTGTGAACAAATAGTTTGCTTGTTGATCGAGGGAGAGGATATGTTTTTCTCCTTGTTTCAACACTTTCGTCGCGCATGATCAAACTTTACAAATATCCGCTTTGTTTCCAATTTTTTTCACGGGCGATGTCGCGCATTCCATTTGATTTTAATGCAGCCGCGCATATTCAACAACAATAACGAGCATCGCGGTAACATGAATGCATGAGTTTTCAATTTTCAGATTGATGAAAGCGTGATTAATAATTGATCAGGAGCGTAGACGGACAGAAAAGCAAAGAAATCTGTATGGGGTATTTCGATGAAGCGTAATATAAATGTTTTCAATATCGGCTTACGCTTAATGTAAAGAGGCCGGAAAGTTTTATTTACGATTCGTCGGCGCGGCGTCCATTATTCATTCACTGTAAATATCAGCGGCGCCCCTGAATTGTTGATCATTATTTCATGAGCGAGCTTCATCGAGAAAATTGTGCGCGCGTGCGCGGCACGCTTCTCAGATGCATTATTAATATTGAAGCGAGAGGGCAGAAGAGCATAATTATTATGTTTATCGTTTTTAATGCGGGATCTGTTTTCCGCGCTTTCTCTCTCTCTCTCTCTCTCTCTCTCTCTCTCTCTCTCTCGCGAAACTGCGCGCGACTGCACCTCTGCTGAAAACACTCGGTTTTAATTAAATTTTAAACCTCGGTAATCTGTTCGCCCGACATATCCGCACGCGGGATATCATATTTCGCGTTCTGCTAATTAATTATGAAAGTTCAACGAAAACACGCATTTGCGCTGAATGTTTATGGATGATAGCCGCGCGCGCTTTCTTCATTCTACTCTCGAACCGCTAATAACGTTTCAAGTGAGATTTTGAAATTGTAACGCCTCGCCTGGATTTCGCTCAACTTTTAAATGCGCTTTTCGCTTGATTCTTTTCGCGTCCGTGACAATCTCCGCGGAAAATTGAAAAAAAAAACGACGATTTGCTTGACGTTTGTACGCTGAAAGAAACGATTGAAGCCCGCGATCTCCGGGAGATTCTTCGAGTCGTCGCTCGGGCGTCAATTTACCAATCGCACGGATGATCGCGGACAAACGTCGCGTAATTGGGATTTCAATTGTAATCCGAGTGGGCGCGCGAAGCTGTTTAGTATTAAGAGATCGCGTCGATTCTTTGCTCGAGACGCAATCGAGAGAGAATTAAAGGTGACGATTGCTTCGCACTATATACAGACGCTATAAGTTTGTGCTCGCGTACTCACTCGATGGGGGTACGTCGTTGGCTTCGGGAAGCCTTATCCGCGTTGTCCCCCTCGCCTCTCTCGCCTCTCTATTTCTTTTCTCTTTCGCTCTCCACGTTACTTCTATTTCATTGCCGCGTCTTAAGTTCTTTCTTGCTCTTTTTCTCTTAATTTTCCAGAGGAAGCTCGAGGCGCCTTTTCGTCGAGTTCATTTGTTTCTCTGGATAATTTGATGCTAACAGCTACACAGGCTTATCTTTAACGTTCGAGACTTGAGATTCTCGGCAAGTTTCTTTCAACTTTTATTTCATTATGTTATCTCCAATGTCAACAAAAATCTTGGACTGAGATACAAGCCAGTCAAAAATACTGATTCTTTTCATTTGTCGGTTCACGGATTCGTTAATAATTCGTTAATAAAGATAATGCTAAGAACGTTTTTCAGGAAAAACAAGTTAACTACGCCACAGTTCACTTTGGTAAATTTTTTTTCTCGTTCGTACTGTTTTTGGCGTGCAATGAAACAGCAGCGATGGGTATCTAACGAAGAGCTCACATTTCAATCGAAACCAGCCCATATCGGTCAATTTACAACGAGACGCCAACGAAATGACTTAGAAAAATTCCACCGCTGTAACCATTTGAATCCGCGGTACTTCAAAAAAGCCAGTAGCGTGAGGGGTATAAGACTCGAGAGAGGGGAGCGCACACCTATGCACAAAGGAGATGGCGAGCAGATTTGTGCAGCGAGATAGAGGCGATCGACCGACCGTCACGTCTGTTTTGTACGGCGTGCGCGTGCGCCAGGTATAAACAGCTTACATAATTCTTTAAATACGTAGATAGGTCCTCCCTCCCCTAATGCGCGTGGCTCTAGAAAACCCACCTCTTCTTCTGTCAAGGATCACTATTACAAGAGCACTTTTGTCTCTCTCTCTCTCTCTCTCTCTCTCTCTCTCTTACTCTGATCTTTGAGCGACCGATGGGTTTTCGAGAGCTATACGATGCTTGAACGAGATTCGGGAGCACTTTGCAACGCCGCATGGACTGATGTTTTGAATGCTTGAATTTCTTTGAAAGATATTTATGGCATACTTGAATAATATTTTTGTGTGTTGAGGGTGTTTAATGGATGTTGAAGCAAATGAAATGTTAGGTTTAATCATGATAATGTAGTAATATTTGGATATCTTTAAAAAATAAAAGAATTTTTTCATTGATTCGAATCGTGGAATTTCATGCTCGTAAAATAAAATTCCACGATTCACTGCTGTAACTAATACCATCATTTGTGTGTAAGGTTCGTGGTAGCGAGCCACGACAAGTATGTCAATTTTCCGTAACACTCTGTCAAACACAACTCAATGGCCGATTAATATAAAGGAGTTTGGAAACTTGGATACAATTTCAATGTTCGAGATGAAATATTCCCTCGCGACGCCACGCACCGTCGAGCAAAGTACGCTCTCATATAGTTCGGAATCACCTACGAAAGATTTGAATATCGTGCCCAGAGACGAGCTGTATGTCAGGCAGGAGCAGCAGCAGGCAGGGTTGAAACGTTTCTCGTCTCTCTACCCCCGAAGCTTCGCATTCGTTAACGAAGCTGTTGTTGCTGCTGGCGCACGCTTTCGAAGCAACTCGATACCTTTTGTTGTGCATCGTTAGGTCGAGTATACACGCGGCAGCGGCAACAGCAGCTCTCTTGCGAAAAGTGGTCGATTGCGCTCGGTGGTTTACTACCACTAGCACAAACGCGCGCGCGCCGTATAATTGAAGCCCTAGGGCATCCCGCAGAGAGAGAGAGAGAGAGAGAGAGAGAGAGAGAGAGAGAGAGAGAGAGAGAGAGAGAGCTACTTTTCAACGAAAGATGCGCGCGGCAAATTAGCCCGAACGATTTTTTTCTTCTTCTTTGTGCGACGAGGTGCCCCGACAAATTGTGCGCCTCGCGGCGAAGAATCTGTATAAGCTTTACTTCTTGTACGAAATTCGTTGTTCGATCGGTCGTGCAGCTTCACGACGGATTGATCATTTTATCCTTTATTTTCTGCTGAGATTTTTCCTTCGGCGCGCATCCCCTATAATCCACTCGAAAATGAATTATCGCGCAGCACGAGGCACGTCAAGAGGCGAAGATGATGATCGAGTCGCGACAAAGTTCCTTTGAGCATATAACGTCATTGCGATGACCCCGAACACATGGCACACAAGGAGTTATTATACCTTACTTGCTTTCATATACAGGCGTATTCGTATATAGTACAACCCGGCTAAATCCGCTGATTGGCTTCCGTTCTATACTACTATATACCAGCGGCTGAGCGCCGGATTACTTGCTCGTGCCCTTTCCGCGCGTACGGCTTTATTTTTAATTTCACTTGTGTGTCGAGTCGAGCTAAGAGTATTTTACTTTTCTCCGCTTACAAATGAACACTCTACCCCGTTATTTTCATTCTCTATTGTTATAATCGAATTATACCTGCACACCTCATTTTCCTACTCGTATATCAACGTTATTGTCTGATATGATTTGTTGCTAGATAGAGAACTGATTTCCACGATTAATTATACTCCTCGCGATGATATAGAACGATGCTTTATTATTGCGCACTGTGTTCATCATTGAAACAATGAACGATACCGCCAGACGAGTTTCCATTATTGATAGCTATCGTGTTTATATTCACATCAGATATGATTATAGCTCATTGGTTGAATTATCGTATTAATTGATCGCTTCTCTGCATTTGTATAGCCGCTGTTCTATCGCGCTCAATTTATCAATTTATCAATTTTTTTCAACGCGCGGTGTACTGGGTCTACAATGAGCGCACGTTGAGCACGCTTTTCCACGATGCACGCATACCGCGCGAAGACGCATACCATCCCTTTCCTTTCTCCAGCGTTTCCAGTAATCTCACACGCTGCTCACGCGCACAGACGTACACTGGCGTCAGGCTGCTTTTTACTCGGGCGAGAGCAATAGCGCGCCTGCATCTGTGTGTATGTATGTACACACGCGCTTCCTTTGACAGCACCTAATTAACGAATCATTCATCACTCAGGCGTAATTAACGCGCGAGCTGATCGAGGGATGAACAGAATTGGAGGCTTGTTAATTACGCGTTTAATAATGTCGCGAGCGTGCTAAAGTTATTGTTGTATATCTTGTGAGATTTCATGAATAAATTATTATTATACCGGGAGACATCTTTTTTAAAGGGATAATATGCTTTATATATTTACATCGGTATAACGCGTGTCGTAACGAGCTGCGATGTATTGAAGGTTGACTTTTCAACAGATTTTAACAAGATTTTTTTCTTCAGAGAAGATAATGTTTTGTTCACCGCATTTATCTGATTTTTCATAATTAGAAAGAGAATTTCTTTCTTTCGAAGAACAAAAAATCTATGTGTTTGCTGTTTCTTAATTAAAAACGAACATCGATAAATTATATTATTAATAATGTCACGTTCAAATTATTTAATGGTTATTAAAAGATTTCACAATAATTCTAAAATCATTTCTTAAAACGTTTAAATCCTCCACAATTTGCAATCGTTTATATCGTTCGTCAGATAATTTATATTCCCTGCTCGAATAATAGTTCAAGAAGATTTACAAAAGGTATAAGTAACAATTTCGAAAGATGTTTTCTCTGAAAATGATACCAATCCAAAAAGCGGCGAATTTCCGGAAAAGACGACGCGAAACCGTTCTGAGCAGCTTAAAAAATGTCATAAAGCGTATCGAGTTTCGACGCTG